TTCTGTTTCCAGTGAATTTATACCCCCAAAGGAGCAACGTATCCTGGGGGATACAAACATTAAAATCAAATTTAAGAGTCAAGTTTTGAAAAAAAATCATGAAATTGTATTATTTGAGTCCCAATAAGATGGAAATAGCATTAAATTAATTTTCTGATGTCTCTTTATGGGTTTGCCCTTTTTAGGGTTAATGCTTTCACATTGAGCAGCTATATTGTATTTATTCTTCCCTTACGGAAATTAACCATGGTTTTGCAACAAATAAAACCAAAAGGACATGGTTACTATAGTTAGACTATAGTAACCACAAATGATCCGTGGTTTTGCTACACTAACCATAGTTTAATCATGGTATTTCTAGTAAACCTGTGGTTATACAAATGGTATCAATACCTGTATAGGTAAGGATACAAGTTTGGAAACATGGTTAGTACACGTTTACTATAATAAAACACACGACTGAGCGATTTTTTAATTTAAAGAGATTTACATATTAGTCAGTTTTATTCTAAACTTATATAAGCTGTTTTCCAAAAATTATTCATACGAAACGGTTGGTTTTCTTCTGCGGTGATTTGTGTTTGTTTACACTGTGTGCGCCTGAGCGTGTCCTAAAACATGGCGACCGTTACACAGAATGCAATGGTCGTAGATTCCCATACTGTGTGTTGTGTTTGGGTGAATGAAAAAAACAATTGTTTCTTAATTCTGAGGCTGTTTAAATTTACTTTCTAGACCGACTTTTTTGATAGCATTCATTGGAAGAAAGCATGGTTGCTCCCTGAAAATGTTGCATTTATAATAAAATAAGAGAGGTACGTTTTAAATTTTGCATAATGTCTATCCAACGAACGAAAAAAAAACTGTGTAAATTTACTGTGTTTATACCAAACATATCGACCGCCCTCTTTAGGTGCCAAATCAAACTGCTACTGTTGATCTAAAATCATGAAGCGTCCGTAACACAAGACTGAGAGTTAAATTGCTAAGAAAGTTCTTCCAAGGTCTTCTATAAGGGGGAAGACGGTTGATTAATTACATTAATAAATCATTAGCCCCCTATAGCTTGAATAATAGCTCAGCTATCCTGGTAATTTGGCCTGTTTATCATAGTCACATTAAAAAGTGAAAGTGACATGACATGTGGCCAAGTATGGTGACCCATACTTGGAATTAGTGCTCTGCATTTACCCATCCAAAGTGCACACACACAGCAGTGAACACACACACACCGTGAACACACACCCGGAGCAGTGGGCAGCCATTTATGCTGCGGCGCCCGGGGAGCAGTTGGGGGTTCGGTGCCTTGCTCAAGGGCACCTCAGTCGTGGTATTGAAGGTGGGAGAGAGCGCTGTACATTCACTCCCCCCACCCATTAATCTGTCTACATCAAACTGCAAGATTAAGCTAAATTAGCTGATAAACTTAACCTAGACAGTTTAGTTTGAGGCCGTATGCTGAGTTATGGCCATCACTGCATGTCACCCAGGCTATCTGGTAATCTCCTCAGAGGGGCGGGTTTAAGCGGGCTATTTTCTGCCAGCTCTTATTGGGACACGCTGGCTTAAACTGAGTTTGTGGGCCATACAGACCTGGTTGGCGTCTGTACTTCCATGCTATTCAGCTGGAGCTTTAACTACTCTTTAAGATTAGATTAAGATAACAAACTTTAGCGATTTGCAAAGGTGTTTGTGAAGGTATGAGGCTTTGCATTTCTGCAGGATCCTACGCCAACCTCATTTATGTTCCTATTTTTATTTGAAAAAAAGTAACAATAACAGTAATAATAATAATAATAATAATAGTATTTCAGTTATTCTGCTAATCATGTTGCCCATTGATATGGAATAGCTTATCCTCACTCCCATGGGAGAATGTCACAATTCATTTTTAGGTCATATTTCACCCAAAAATCGGAAGAAAATAATGAGAAATATTAGTTTATTTATTTATTTATTTCAATGAAACTGAAACATATATTTTGGAGTATTATTTATTGATCTTACAAATCATGTTCTCCCTCTATGTCTCTCTCTTTCTCTTTCTCTCTCTCGCTCTCTCTCTCTCTATATATATTTTATATAAATACATATAATTTATATATATATATATTTATATATATTATATAAATAAATTATATAATAAATGATTGATATATATATATATATATATATATATATAATTTATCTCACTGATAATAAAACTAGACTATATTTAGAAGTATTATTTGTTGATTTTTTTTTTGCCAATAATAATCATTTTATGACATTTTCTCATCTCCGTTAAGCACATTTCTCTCAATATTCTCATTACTGTAATGTGAAAAAAATCGTGAAAGGTATGCATGGATTAAGATTTTTTGCAAAATAACATGATTATTTAGTTTACCGTCTTCTCCGATTTGTCATTACTGTATTGCAAAAAATCTCACTCTCATTACTGTAATGCAAAAGAACAACAAAAATATATTTTCATATCAAATGAGACTCACCGTTGAGAATAATGAAAGATGGAAAAATATAAAAATGCAAGGAATGCTTAAAAATATTACATTTTCCTTATGTAGCCTTTTTATTCATTTAGTTAGTTAGTTGGTTAGTTAGTTTTGTTTGGAATGAAATGGGACCTGTTTTCATGAGGTTTGCTCAGCTTTGATCTAAATAGACAGCTGACTAGTTTCTGAAAGTCTGATTTACCTTCACAATCCAACAGGAAGCAGGTGAGGAGGTGAGGACACACTTCCTCCAGCACGGAGCAGAAGGCGTTGAACGCACACGGGCCCTTCGGCGACAGCTGATCCAGGAAGAGCTCTGCTCGTTTCTTGCTGGAGTCTTGACCCAGTATCTCTTTGTATTCCCCGAGAGAAAACACTTTGTCATACAACAGGTACGGCAGCAACTTGTTGACATCCAGTTCCTTCAGGATCATCTCCCTGTGCTGCTTCAGGACCTTAGCCACCCATTTCTTTCTCTTCCTGCTGACAGGTTTTCTTCCTTTAGTCCTCTGTCTTTTATTCTTCTTGATAAACCACTTCTTAGTACCACTTCCAAACATCTTCACATTGAGGATTCCCACTAAGACGTCTTGAACAGTTCCATCAAAGAAAGGAAAGTGCATATTTTTTTTTACAACCAATACGTGATCATGCTTGTATGTTCGGCCCATATTTGTTGTGACACCCGAAGTGTCTGGGACAGCAGGACAATCTGGACAGAGACAAAATACGTGCTTGGTACTTACAGATGGTAATAGGATTAGCTTTGTGTTAAGCAGACTACGCTTAGGTTGATCTGTCTATTGCTAGATTGGAATACATATGTATTTGAAATCTAAGGTTTGAATACATTTTTTGTAAAAAATAAAATAAATATATAAATAAATAAATTTTAACTGCACATCAAATCTGTACAAAAAAAAAAAAAAACGGTAAAATTCATTTTATAGACATTTTATTTTTTCATAAGCCTAAACATATATGCATTATATAGTAATTCAAAAGCATAATTATTACTTTTTTCACATCGACTGGAAATATACAGTATATAGTCAGTAAAAATCCTGATTGCAGTAGCAGACTCTACCAGAGGAAAGCACATTTAAAGTCTTCACTGTTGTTCATTTGCACCTCTGCGAACCAAAGTTATTTTAGTATCACTGAGATCATTTTAGTGGTTTTATTAATATTTTGAATTTGGTTTCATTTCTTAACATTTTACTTTTTCAGTTTTAGTCATTTTGATGTGTAATAAAGTCCATAAAATACCAAAAGTAAAGCTGTGAAATAAAGCCCATAAAGTACCATAAAGTCTAAAACTGTGTTGAATTGTGGTTTTAAAAATGGTCACAAATATGTACTGTATTTATGGTACCTTATCAACTTTTGTGCTTAAGTTAATGCTTTAAGTATTTATTAATAAAGACTTATCAGGAACATTGGAATTTTAATTGGAACTAATATACAAGTACAACTAATAAAAACAGTTCTTCTCAAACAGCAGGTTCACAGCATTGTGACCATTTACTCTGTATGACTGCACGATAACTTTATGTTTTTTCTGTTCAAAGATGGTGGAAAATAGCTTTTCGTAATCAAGGTTCTATAATATCCGTATGTACAGAAACTGGCCCTCAGACTCTGAAGAATTTCTTTTCTTTTTTTCTTAGGTTTTTGCTATATGAATGTTCAGAACTTATTTATTTATTTATTTATTTATTCTTACCTGTCTGTCTATTTGCCTTCTATAAGAGCCATGCCCATGACTTTATTATGTTTTGTGTTTATTGTCAAGTGCCTAAATGAGTTTGTTTTTAACTAGTCTACTAAATGTATTAATGACATTTATTGTCACAGTATTTTAGGTTGTGTTGTTTAAATTATACAATCAAATTTTATCACATAATCACATAATGCGGCTCTCACATGATGTGACAATTCACTTCCCTTCTTTCTGGATAAATAGAAAATATATTCAATGTGTACATGAAACAAGATCAGAGGTGTAAAATCTATATGAAAAAAGAAAAGTACTCAGGTGTATTTAACTCAAATTCAGAAACCCAAAACGGTTCAATTCAAGTTTTGAAAAGCTTCTTTTCTCTCCTCACTACGGTATCATCCTGCTGGAAAAAAACAATAGAAACCATCACAGAAAGTCTAATGGTTTCCACTACAAATACCATTACAAACATTACAGACCATCAACTTTTAACCATTAAAACCATTAAAAATGGTTTTCTGTAGTGTGTTTTGGGACATATATTTCATTAGGATTTAGTGGTTTTAACAATTAAGCCACCAACAGAAGGCAATCAATTACCAGTAGAGTCCAATAGCAGTTTCCATTAAAACCAATACAATTCCCATTATAACCATTAAAACCATTACAAATTCTGTGATGGTGTCTATTGTTTTGTTTTTTTCAGCAGGGCAAACTGTCCCCGAGTTAAATCTGACAAGCAATTCAAAGTTCAACAACAGGAAACATACAGTATCTACAAGTTAGCAGCTAAACATTTTGCAAAATGATGTTAAAATGAGTAAAACACTAAAACCAGCAACATGGTTTCCGCTGTTAAACAACTTACAGTTCAGGTCACTGATTTTCCCAGAGCTTTCCAATGTGAACACAGTTTCGCACCAGAGATCATTCTGATCTGTTCTGTTCCTGACAGCAGAGACTTTAAACATCTCGTACGGAGGAATCAGCACCTCGTCCTCATCAGGAAACTTCGAATAATTTGCCACCTCAGCACCTTCACAAGTGTAGATTTCAAAACAAAATACATTTCCGAAACCTTCTGCTACTGTACGATTAAGAGACGAGGATGTAAACGAGCCGAAACGAACCTCTGCGTTCAGAACATCCCTATCAAATTCAACATCTGTACCACGATAAGTCGACTTACAACCTTGTTGTGTTTCCTTCAGAAGCTGTATCGCCTCAGTTAACAAAAAGTGAAGTGAATACCATGGGTATGTCATGTTTTTGTAGTTTTTTTTCTCTCTGCGAACAGCGTTATTGAACTCACGATATACTTCTTTATCAGTGTACACGTAAATAGCGATTAAATGATTCTCTGTCAAGTCATCTTCTGGTGCCGAAGTATTGTTTTCAGCTTCTTGCCAAGCCATTTTAAATTCAGCTGAGTTATTGAGTTCCTTCTCTAGGTATTCTGTCATCACCAGGTCAGCCATTTCTTCTGTACATCCATCATACTGGTCATCAATTGAATTCAGTGCCATGTTGAATGGATAGATCAGTCCTTCAGCAGCAGCTCTGTGACCCTGTGGGAATCATCACATTATCAGTTTTCATATCTGTAATATTCATACTAGAATACAAGCTTACCTGCTCTAGAGCAGCTGAAATGAGAAGAAGAGCTTCGATGACCAGCAGCATCTTGATTTAGTCAAATCCCTCAGATGCTCTAGAAGATATAATGTAATGCAAAAGCTGAAAAACAAGAAACACAACAGGGTTTCATTAACACTAAATCTACAACTCCAGTGGGAATGTGTGCATAGATTTGCACAATAGAATGTTTAACCAACTTCTTACATAATACAGTTTTATACTTATTTACATCTGTAGGCTATATAATAATAATAATAATAATAATAATAAATCTTTAAGGCGAGACAAAAAAAAAACATAGGTAACAGGTTTTTTATCCATCAGTCAATTTTGAGATTTGGGGCTTTTTGGCTTTCCATAATGTTTTTTTTTTTTTTTTTTTTTTTTTGGGAAAGAAAACATCCAAAATACACTTTTAAGTGTTTTTTTATTTTCAAGTGAACGCTCGAAATACATTATCTGGGTAACACTTTACAATAATGAACTTACACTTTAATATATTAACTAACATTAAGTAATGGAACCTTATTGTAAAGTGTTACAATTAGGCTATTTGTTATTAAAGGATATACGTTCACAAAAACAGTTAAATTAAACAGAAAAGCAAGCAGGTGTGCATGGTTTGGCATGGCAGCCAATACAAATAATTAATAACCGTTATCCTGCATTTGGACCAGGCTCCGTTGCAGAATCACATCACTCTGTGCTTCTGAAATTATTATCTTTTTCTATATAGTGTAGTAATTAGCTATCTTTGTCGTACGTGGCCGCTCGTCAAGCATGAAAAACACAAGTTTTATTTGAATTCTGCATATATGATCGTATACAGCATGCAAAGAGTGCTCCCTTTAAATGCATTAAAAACTGTCACTCATCACGATCTCACAAAGTTCCGTTTTAACCAATGAATGTGACCACACCAGTGCCTTCTTTTCTTTTCTTTTTCTCAGAATGTACCAAACTGTTGATTTGGCTACTCCTAATGTTCCTGCTATCTCTGGATTTGTTTTGGTTTTGAAGCCTAACAGTTGTCTGTTTCACTAGCATGGAGAGATCCTTTGACTGCATGATGTGGGTTCACAGCAACAGCTTCCAAATTCCAATGGCACGCTTAGAATCAACTCCAGACCTTTAACCTGCTTAAATTGATGTAGAAATAACGAAAGAACAGACCACATCTGTCCATAATACAGCTTTTAAGTCAACTGTCCAATTACTTATGCTCCCTTGAAAAAGGGGGGAGATACATATTAAAGAGCTGTAGTTCCTTAACCTTTCTTCCGATTTTGATGAGAATACCCTCAAATTAAAGCTCAGATTGTGCACTTTAAGCCCATATTCATTATATAACTGTAACTAATTTAACTTGAATATGTGTGTGTGTGTGTGTGTGTGTGTGTGTGTGTCTAAAATGCCCTCTGTAAAAACATTTGACTCTAACATGTCAACAAAATGAAACAAGAATTCTGATCCTGTCTTTATCCAATGTTCAGATTTTTGCTCCAAACAAATGTATGCAAATGAGTGCATATTTAATTACATAATGCCCCACGTTTGCATATTTAAACATAACATTAAAAAAAACAAAAATCTTGTAATACACAAATGTTTGCAATTATTAATGTAGTTATGCAACTGTGGAAGTATGGTGATATCTATTACTTAAAGCAGCACTATGTAACTTTTTCTGTGTTCAAAATTTGCACAATGTATATAATGAGCGAGTACATCATGAATTCATCTTCCAAACCGCGTTTTTGTCTTATTCCGAATCACTACGGTACACTTATAATAAGTACTTGTATTTGGACTATTGTAGCCTGGTCGGGTCGTCACCGCTGCGGAGGAACACATACCTGCGTGAATCGCCATAGACATAAACTTAGAGAAGTAGCTCCGGTTGGAATGTTCTTCCGCGGGATGTGTGCAGTTCTGTTTATTAACCGCTAGAGCGCCAAAAGTTACATAGTGCCGCTTTAATATTTTTACCCTATTCACCTGAGGTGTCTCACCTTTATATTGGCATTTATATTGGCAAATGAATCTGAAACTGTCCCACAAGAAACAAAAAAAAAACGTATTATAAAAATGGTAATACGTACATCAAACCCAGAACGTCAACTGAGCAAGTTCTTCATTATTACATCACTTGATTACCTTTATCATTTTTTGGTGAAAATTCCCTTATTTTATATAAAGATAAACACTAAATACATTCAAGAAGTTTTCTGCACATTTTGAATAGAAAAATCATGCACTTAAATGTAAGTTCATGAAACTTCGCCTCACACTTTAAACATTACACATCTGAAAACACCATAACAAATACTGGCAGAAATGCAAATGATCATACAACACCATTATGATAAAACGGAAATAATTGAGTTAATAACTATTCCCTTAAAAGTGTTCACTGATATTCCACTTACATTTACAATAACTTGTTCCTCAGACTTTGCTCTTTTCTGCTGCTTTCAGTCCCAAGGTTCAAGAAGACCTTCTGAATAAACTGAAACGTGTATTTTAACTCGTTATATACTCCTCATTCCTTCTTTCTTGAAAGAGGACAATGAATGCATTTGTAAAGTCTCCCACGTTTTCCATCACAACCTCCTCTTCCAGGACAATCAAATCATTGAACATACTGGAAAGCAATGTGAAGAATTCCCATTTTCATTTAACTTGATGCTCCCAAGACTCTGCACCCTGTAAAAAGCATAAAATAACCGTATTAATACTCAGTCTATATAATGAATAAAGCCAAAATACTGAATATCCTCACTGCCCATGTTCTTTATCTCTCTTTAATTTAATTTCTGCAAAGGTGGTTTTGTCTCAGTGGTTTCAGATCTTCATATTTGAAATATACACTCTAAAAACTGCTGGGTTAAATATAACCCAGCGCTGGGTTAAAAAGGGACTTACCCAGCTATTGGGTTGTTTTGACCCAGCGGTTGGGTTGTTTTGACCCAGCTATTGGGTTGTTTTGACCCAGCGGTTGGGTTGTTTTGACCCAGCTATTGGGTTGTTTTGACCCAGCTATTGGGTTGTTTTGACCCAGCGGTTGGGTTGTTTTGACCCAGCTGTTGGGTTGTTTTGACCCAGCTATTGGGTTGTTTTGACCCAGCGGTTGGGTTGTTTTGACCCAGCTGTTGGGTTGTTTTGACCCAGCTATTGGGTTGTTTTGACCCAGCGGTTGGGTTGTTTTGTCGTAGGCTTAGCTGGTGCTTTCTTTAAGCACAGAATCAAACTACCATATTAAATGTGTAGCTAATACACCAGCATATTGAGAGGAACTTCATCTTGAGCTGCTCATTGTTTGGAATACAGCATTTAGACTGTAAAACATAAAATAGTTAGAATAACAGTGATTCTGCAGTGCAATGTGAGTCACGCAAGCCAAAAAAAAGATCAGTTTTGGGGATTTATTTAGTCATTTACACCGCATCTCTTACAGCTTGAAATAGTTTTAGCACAAAAATGATAAACTGAATATGAGTTTCTGTCACATCTGACCAGCAGGTGGCAACATCGTCCAATGAGAAAGTTTCGTGTAAATTCCAGACCCAAAAACAACTGGCACCAAGTGAAATAAGAGACAGGTTAAAAGTGCAGCTCTATGCAGTTGTATTGATTGTCTGATAGGCTTCTGGTATGTCTAGTTTGCAACATCAGAACAGTTTTTTTTTTCATCAAAATAAGAATGGAAAAAAAATGACAATTACAAAATCCGTACATACTGTATTTTTTTTTTTTAAATGATGCATTATGATACATAATGGCCGAATAAAAGCATAATGGCATACAACAAAGCTTTCAGATTAATAAGACTCTACACATACCAGAATCTGTGCAAAATTTACCTCATGAGTTTTAGTTAAGGGAAGTTAATACGAAGAAGGATAACAATAAACCTAATGTGATAAATTTAATGGTACAGTAAAAATGTCAAATTCACCTTGTTCAGATTACTAACTTGAAATGTTCAAATGCAAGCAGCAGACCAACTGCAGAAATAAGTAAACAGACATTTGGACATCATTTTAAGCAAAATTGTTGACAAAATCATAAATGCAAGCACTAGATTTAACTTGTCACTTTTGACCAGTAGGTGGCACTGTTACCAAATTGATGTGGTGTGGCCAGTGTGAGGTGACAATGACACACATATGCTGCGTCTCAATGTGCCTACTTATAGTACGCCCTTACAGTATGTACTCTTTGGTGAAGAAAAAGTACACACTTTTGAGTGTGTAGTAGAAGAGTAGGCAAGCTGTGGGACATACTATCACGTTATACAACTGCGTCTTTAACACTCTGTCGCACAGATACACGCACCCTGTCACTGTAAACTGGCCTGTCCATCATCTTGTCACAGTTAACATCCTCCACATTGCATTTCATTTAACTTCCTACCCTACTGGAGAGAAAAGAAGTAGCTCGTTGATCTGCCAGTAGCGGGTCTTTCATGCCGAGATGCTTATATTTTCTGCATAATGATGCATTTAAAAGTTAACGACCAAATGGATGTTTATAAAAGTTCATATTGCTGTTGCAGATGAAATATAACACAGATAACAATAAATAAATATTTTTTACCAGGTTAAACGTTGATTATTAGTAACTCGAACCCCTTTTTGTAAACCTCTCTACCTAACCGCTGGTCGCGCACATCCGCCATGTTTGTAGTTTTCTAACTCGTTTTATTCTTGTTTGTAGTTCTGGACCTAATCCTTCGCCAAAGCGCAATGGATTGTGGGCAATATTAGCCATTAGAGTGTGCACGGATCCACACTTCAAAAATCGACCTGAAATAGTAGACCATCCGGGGACTTTTGGCATACTCTTTTCAACATACTATGCTTTGGGACACACTTATTCTAATCTCACATACTATTTAGAATGGATAGCATGAACATTGAGATGCAGGGATAAAGTATGGTGTCAGTAGGCCTATGTCAAAGCTTTGCAGAGAAAGAATCAGATGCAGTTTGGCATCACGCCATGGAATTTGTTTATGAAGTGAATTTGAAAACAGCTTTATC